TCTTCATATTGTTTGGCCGATTTTGGCCGAAATTGGGGTGGTCCACAAAATTTGAGATTTGAAAATACATACTTCTTTTTAATTATTTGAGATAGACCAATGCAATTTTCTAAAAGTTGTAGAGCAATCAATTCGAAGCAATTTTGCTCGAGACACCAAATTTTTATCTCTTAAGGTTCATGAGTTATGATTTTTTAAACAAGCAGGTTAGAATGGCCCATAAAAACAGATTTCTGCGAATATCTTTTCATTAGTTCATTTCTCGTTAAAACCTTGTTTTGGTTACATTTAGAACTTATGATTACGCATATTTTTGCTGAAGCAACCAGACTGCTATCTTTTTTTATTATTAGAAACTTAATGGAGATTTTCTTCGAAAAAATGGTTCTATTAAAATGACAATATCTCTAAATGGAGCAAACTGATTTTCAAACTTTCGCTTTTAAAAGAAACTTGCCATTTAAAAGATCGTGTTTTTTCAGTATTTGTGGAAAAACTGTGAGAGCGTTTTTTGTTTAAAGTATTTTATTTTATTTAAAAAAATCTTTTTTTTTATCAAAAACTAGCCATAACTTTTAAATAAAGGAGATTAAAATTAGTGACTTCTGCAAAAATATGCGTCATAAAAAGTTCTAAAAGTATTTAAAATAATGTTTTTACGAGAGGTTAGGGTGGCCCCTAGAAATTTCTTTAAATATTGTTTATACGTTAATCACCAATAAAAATATTTAAAGAAAGATTTTCTAGGGGCCACTCCAACCTACTTGTTTAAAATAACCATAAGTCATGAACCATAAGCGATAAAAATTTGATGCCATGAGCAAAGTTGGTTCAAATTGATTATTCTACGACTTTTTAAAAAACTGCATTAGTCTATCTCAAGTAATAAAAAAGGTTGAATTTTCAATTCACCAATTTTAAGGACCACCCTAATTTCAAATCGGCTAAAAAATACGAATAAGCTTTCCCCAAGACACCATATACGTAAAAGTGATGGTTTTGGTGCTAATATTTTTGTCTTCATAAATACGGCTTTTATGGATGTGAACCATCCCGTGGTCCCAAAGGTACATTTTCCGTCTAAATTCTAGTCAAAACTCCGAATTAATTGTAATAAGACGTTTATGAAAGGTTTAAACAAAAACATGGAGCTCTAGGATCAGTTGCATGAATTGACCACTTTTACGGATGTTCCGGATCTTCTTTTGAACCATTCTGTGGTCCCCACAATCAATATTCAGGTCACAACTCTGAATTCATTCTGATAAGACGTAAATGAGTGTTTTCGGAAAGTTCACGGAGTTCTAGGATCAGTTTCATGACTTTACCATTTTTACGGATGTTCCGGATCTTCCCGTGGACCATCTTGTAGTCACCAGAGTCCATATTCCAATCAAAACTCCGAATTAATTGTGATAAGACGTCTATGAGCGGTTTAAAAAAAAACACAGAGCTCTAGGATCAGTTTCATGAATTAACCACTTTTCAGGATGTTCCGGATCTTCCGATGAACCATTCCATGGTCCCCAGAGTACATTTTCCGAACACAACTCCGATTTTATTGTGATAAGACGTCTATGAGAGGTTTCAAAAAATCCGTGGAGCTCTAGGATCAGTGTCATGAATTGACCACTTTTACGGATGTTCCGGATATTATAATGGATCATTCCGTGGTCCCCAGGGTAAATTTTTCGGTCATAACTCCGAACTTATTCTGATAAGACGTCTATGAGTGGTTTCAAAGAATCCGCGGAGCTCTAGGAGTATTTTCATGAATTGACCACTTTTACGGATGTTCCGGATCTTCTGATGAACCATCCCGTGGTCCCCAGGGCCCATATTCCAGTCACAACTCCGAATACATTCTGATAAGACGTTTAAGAGTGGTTAAAAAAAAAACTCGGAGCTCTAGGATCAGTTTCATGAATTGACCACTTTTATGGATATTCCGGATCTTCTGGTGAACAATCCCGTGGTCCCCAGAGTCCATATTCCAGTCACAACTCTGAATTAATTCTTATAAGACGTCTATGAGTGGTTTCAAAAAATCCGCGGAGCTCTAGGATCAGTTTCGTGAATTGACCACATTTACGGATGTTCCGGATCTTCCGGTGAACTATCCCGTGGTCCCCAGGGCCCATATTCCGGTCACAACTCCAAATTCATTCTGATAAGACGTTTATGAGTTTCATGAATTGGCCACTTTTACGGATATTCCGGATCTTCCACAGGATCAGACTTGTGTCCTACCGGAAACTGAATCGTCCCAAAAGGTGACCAACTTTCTTCTTAACAACTTCTCAAAAGACATCAGGAAGTCATATGCTACGTGTATTCGTTAATGCCCGATCGACTGTACTATAGGAATCCACTGGCATCAGTACTATAATAGGAATCCGGCAAGAATGAATCCGCACTATAAGAATCTTGACTGTATATGGCTATGGCAATGTTTTGGAGTCATAATTAAATACATAAATATTTGTTATGTAAGCTGTTACAGAAATGCCTTTGTCCAAAATTTTCTAGTTGTTTCGATCCTTTTTTTAATCTAAAATCTATATTTTTATTGCATGATTTTTCAATCAATTTCCATATGAGATCTTTAACTTCACGTAATTTTAAGTAAAATTATTACAATCAAACACCAACAATTTGGTTGTAGATTTTTATGTACACTCAATCAATCAACCCCGAACCCGTCGTTACACGCTAACTTGAAAGTACTCATTAATGAGTAAAAAAAGACCCATTTTGAAGAAAAGTGGCTTAACTCATTAATGATTAAACAATTTTACCCATTAATGAGTGTCTGTTACCCATTAATGATTAACAATTACTCATTAATGGGTAACAGATACTCATTAATGGGTAAAAATTTTACTCATTTAATGAGTTAAGCCACTTTTCTTCAAAATGGGTCTTTTTCAACCATTAATGGGTACTTTCAAGTTAGCGTGTAAGCAAATTAACCATAACATTTTTATTAGGGATTACAAAAAAAATTCAAAGTTTTTATCCCTTGGCTGTCTCGCGATTCGCGAGTTTGGAGTGACGTTTGAAAAGCGGACAAAAAAACGCATTCGTACGAAAATGGGAATAGCAACATCGTTCGAACGAACGATGTTCGAAAGTTAGAATGGCTTCGAACGAAAACGGGAATGGGAAATTGCTTTCGTTTCGAACGAATCCTGTTCGTACGAAAACGGGAATAGAGGTGATAAGTAAATCAGCAAATTGCAAAAAACAGTCGTTTTCGATAAAATTTTGACCTATGCGGTTTTTCAAACAAAGGATTCAATGGATCATATCATCTGAGCAGTTTAAACTGACGTTTCCTACCACTGGAACTTTGCCGTGGAATAATATTTTGGAAAAAAAAACCTTATAGGATCTTATTTATGCTGAACTAGAAAGATCAGGGATTTATCACTTAGCTTTCCTAAAATCGCTGGTAGAAGGTCGTCTCAAAATTGCTCGACTATATGATTAATTATGGACTATTGTATTCCCATATGTCATAATTGGAACCAGTGTTGAGCAAAATTCAAAAACTCAAATCTCATGCATGCGTGTTTCGGCTGGCGAAATTCAACAGCGCAATAATCACCGACGAGTTTTCCGGTTAAAAGTGAATTAACCACTTCATTCGAACAGTTAAAATGACGTTTACTACCACTCGAACTTTGAAATAAAATATTATTTTGAGATTTTTTCTTCAAGAACCACGAGAAAAGTAGCCATAATTTGTGCGTTTCATAAAAAGTAGAAATTAGTTGGTTCAGTTTTGAGGAATCTCTGGTAGAAAGTCACGCCAAAACTGCTTGACAAAGTGCTTGCATTATATTTTGGAATTTTCCGTTGTTTTCATCGTTTTTTTTTTTTTATTATTATTGTTATTAGGTATTCATGGTTTTTATTAAAGAACCTGAATTTATAAAGAGACATCTTATCCATTTTACAGGTCTTCTGATCGATTGGAATAACTTTTCCTATGACGATTGTTCCAATTTTGACAAGTCGTCTCTTTAGTTTTTATGAGTTTTACCTTAGAATGAGTTGTTGGTGATGGAAGTGTAAGTGCGTTAAAATGCATAAGAAATCTCAAGAGTGTGTTTTGGTTGGTAGAACTGTACGCGAGTTATACTATGAGGATTCTCCGAACACTCCTCCTCCTATTAATAGCGGCGCCAATGGTTTTAAGAATACAATAAATAACCTCAGGACTCAGAAAAAAAAATCAATCCTCCCCGACGGGGAATTGAACCCCGGTCTCCCGCGTGACAGGCGGGGATACTGACCACTATACTATCGAGGATATGATGAACAAATTTAAAATAATTGATCAAATTTGACTACGTATGATCCTTAAATCTTGAATCGAGCTACATAATCAGCTCTTATTCATATATCTAATGATTATTTGAAGACTATCAAAACCATTGACTGATCTTTGAAACGAACATATAAATTCGTAGGCATATAAATATCATCGTCCGATTCTCGACGCACATGTGAAATAGGCCTATATGTTCAATGTAAACAACGAATCACAACACACCTGCTACTAACTAACTACACCATTCTGATAGAGCAGACATCGTCTACCAGATGCTGCGGATGCTTTGCCTGGATGGGACTTAATCCACAAGAAATCGGCGTTCCTAACATTTGGCCCATAGACCCTTATCAGATCTTCGTCGAGTACTTTTTCCATAATGAGAATCGACCCCAAAAGGAACCCATACCCAAAAAAAATATCCCGCCCCCGGGTGGACTCGAACCACCAACCTTTCGGTTAACAGCCGAACGCGCTAACCAGTTGCGCCACGAAGGCAGATGAAGATAGTGGTGCGTCGTTAGCTATTTTCAGAATGATCAACGCTGCTGCGTCACTTAAACCTATTAGTCTACGTGTTAGCTCCTATTTTTAACCCATTCACGACCGTATTTAATCGTCAATGCTACCAGACTACGTTCGTACAAAGGAAAAGATCATTTATGACGTGTTTACAATATTTACCAGTTTATTACTGTACATACAATTCTATACGATTATCGTTGGCAAAAACTATCTACTAGTTATTGCCAGTAGTACCTAGTAGCAGCGCTAGATTCTACTAGTTCATGTCATAATATTATTAGTTACTAGCTCACAGGAGCACTCGTTACATGGTAGTTATCTTTCTTAATCTTTATTCATTACTTGGCTTGCATTTGTCTCGATTGCTAAATATCTAATCCATAGTGTAAAACGTTAAACATTACTCAAAATTCGTTGAACTAATCGAACGCAATAAACTAAGAGAAACTCCAAAAATACGAACAAAAGTGAGAAAGCAAAACTCCGTTCTAAGTCATAAATCATCTCTTTTCGAACGTACGTATCAACCCCGCCGCGGGGAGACACCAAAGTAAAAGGCCACCTCATCTCACCCGGCCACCTCCTCCGGACCGGGTTCGAATTCGAGCTTGACCTCGGCCGAAGCCAACCCCTCGACGTCGGCCTCCGATTCTTGCACGTTAAGTCGGTTCAGGGTCATCATCATCTAGGTAGGTTGTAAAGAAAAAGCGAAGCAAAATTTTATAAAACAATAATCGATCGGCGGTCTTAAGAACAATCAGCTCACATCGGAAGGTTTATTCAAATAGCCGGCGGCATCGCTGACGGCTTCAAGTTCCTCCTGCTTCACGACCAGGGTCGGCTGCTGGTCGGTCCCACTAGTCGTGGGCAGCACGCTTTGCTGTTGCTGCTGCACCAGAATGGTTTGAGTCTGCGGTGGTAGCTGTTGCGCTTGCTGCTGCGGCTTGATCTGGATTCCGGCGTCTTCGAAGGTTTTCTTCTTCAGCGTCTGTCGGATTTGCGACCTAAAATAAAACAGAAAGCATTTTTGCTGCGGTGAGCGTCCCGTCCTCGTCGGGCACAATAAGACAGATGAAGAAACGATAGAAACAACTTACACCGTTCGTCCCTTGATCCGTTGGCTGACTTGGTTCAGATCTTCACTGAAACGGGTTACCGCCGAGCGGAGCATTTCGATTTCTTCATCTGTCCATTTGCTCCTTAGACGGAAGCGATTATGGGAAATCGAGAGAAGATTAGCAGACGAATTACTACTTTAGGGTAAAAAGGTGAAGAAAGTAACTTACCCAGTGGGAGAATCGGATGAAGGATGTAGCTGCATCGTCAGTTCGCCCAAACGGTTGAAAGCCGCGCCCGCGGCCGTGAAGATTTCACCCACCTAAAAACCATCACTAACCGTTAGATCACCTTTGCTCCGATAGTGGACAAACTTGAACACTTACTTTTGTGGCTGAATTCATCGTAAAAGGATAGATTTATGTCGAATAAAACACTGCTCGCTGGCTCGCTTCTATCGGTTGTAAACAAACACGCTCGCTCCAAAAAAATCGATTCTGCTCGTCGATCTGTCACCGATGACAGTTACGGGACGCGTTCGCGAAATACGCTGGGGACCCGAGTAAAAACTCACGGTTTAAATCACGGTCTTATATCGCAAAATAAAACGATGAGGGATACAATACGGTGGCAGCTTCTTGTTGATCATTTAAATATTACTGGATGCTTATTCAGGGTGGCCACTTGATTTAAGAAATTAAATTACTGTTTTTGTTTATATTAAGTACACTTTCAGCCCAAGGCTGGTTCGTCTCCGATACAATTAAATTCCTCGTTAAATTCCAGGTTTTTTCACGGTTTTTCACGGACAATATTTTCCCCGGTTCCATTTAAACAGTAACCCGCATATACGCGAACCACAAATTGACCTTACCAAAAATGGTTAAAAATTGTTTATAATCCCTGCTAAACTTCAACTGAAATGGTTATGGAACTTTACAAGAACGTTTAATGATAAAGTTTTAACCTTATGTATTATGGTTTTTTGGAAGCGGACCTTACAATTTTTTTTTTGACGTTGGATAACGTCTTTCGGCAACATACGGGGGTACAAATTTTTTTTTTTTTTTTTTTTTTTTTTCATTTCGTTTATTTGGCAGGCTCAAATGTTATAAAAATAACTTAGCGGAGCCGAGTAACATAGAATACCAATTATGGTACTCAAAATACAAAAAAAAATATGTACAAATATATTTTATCATATGATTTTTCTGGGTGGCGATCGAAGCGGCGACAAAGCGATCTTCTCCCGTGCACGCAACTTCTTTCTTTCCCGAATTTGTTCCTCATTTTCATTGAACCCGAATCGTGATCGCTGCTGCTGTTTCTGGACATCGTTTCCCGTTGCATGCTCTCCGCTACTCTCGTCGGTCGTCGGGGTAGTCACGTTCATTTCGTTATCTGCATTCAACATCTCCAACCCCGTATCCGTTTCCTGATCGCTAATGACAAACGACGCACCTTCCACCACTACACCAGCATACGTACTGCTGCTGTGTTGTTTTCTTTCACTTTGCTTTCCTTTTTCCTTCAGTTGCTTCTCCGGTTCCTTCCGAGCCTTCCGCTTGGGACAGGAAAGCTTCCGGTGTCCGTCCGCCTTGCACAGAAAACATTTGTCTTTGTTGCCATCATAAAAAATGTTTCCTTTGCGATTGAAGAAATGTAATGACGTGGGGATTTCCTTCTTCACATCCATATATACACCGCGTATCCCTGTATACACCTCAAAACACAGATCAGTTGGAAATTTCTCCCGGATGATGCGTTTAATTTTCCCATATTTCCCCAGCACTTTATCCAGCTCGTTGTCGGGTACCTCTGGTGGCAAGTCATACACACGCACATATTGAATGAATTCACCAGCATGCGACATGCGTACCTTTGCCGTCGTTCCATTCGCATAATGGAAGATTAAATCCTCCGAATTGAATGTCAGAGCATGGAGCATCGCTTCCTCTGATTTGAACTTCATGAAGACTCCCCTTTCCTCACCAATGCGATAAACAGCTTCCATTTCAGCCGGATCCGCGTCGAGTGCTTTGGCGAAATTTACTATCTCTCCGATGTTTGGTTTGGCATCACAATGGCTGAAGCTAAACTTGATGGTGTTTTTTACTTCACACATCTTGCACCGTAGTAACAAAAGGCACTGAACTGCTAGCAACGAACAAAGAGCAACTATATAATAGCGAGTCTCGAAAACAGGCTATCGTGTGGTTCACAACGAAATAAAAAATCGACTGCTGCTGTAGACAGCTGTGGGACAACTGGGGGTACAAAATTGAAAACAGCCATTTTGGATGAGTTACGAAAAATTAAAAGATTTTGAACGATAATAACTCAACCGTGTCTCGATAGATTTACGAGATAATGGCATCAATCGATTGGAAATATTTCTAGCAATTTGCTGAATGTTTCAAAACTATTGATTTCATTCTGTAAACTATTGAAAAATGGTTAAAAGTAAACCATTGTCTAAAGATGGTGAAAATCGATTGATTTTTTTATATTCTTATACTTTCTCCAACCGAGACATCAGATGCGAGTATCTGACATCTCTGATATTTTCTGTTCTACTATATAAGCGTCCAACAAGGTCGCCCGTTCCATCATTGTTTATCCGATCGTCGACCCAGCAGCAGAGCAGCAGAACAGCAGTACCAGAGCAGCGGAAGCAGAGCAACGGCAGCAGAGCAGCGGCAGCAGAGCCTGGGGGCGAAAGGGCAACTACGCCGAGCGCGTTGGAAAAATGGCCCTTTTCAGGGCCACAACATTATCAAGAAAGAGTTTAACGATTAATTTTCTAGGGTGGTGTACAAGGGAGTACCCAGCACGATCATGGGCATTGGCTCCAAGCAATATTTCATCAGATTCCAGACAAATCTGTTCGATAGTAATTAGAACAGAAAATGAAAATATAAAAATGAGGTAAGGAAAATACCATTTATTATATAAGACCACGTAGTCCTACGTCACCATTGCGTACAACCCCATAGGGCTGTCCCTTGTAGTTGGAGGGTGGTGTACAAGACACAACCGCATTGTTGACGTGTCATAAATACGAGTTTTGCAATTAAAAGGAATGGGCTTTGTTTCAAACATTTTGAACTAGAATTTACATTTAATTTATTGAAGAATGATTGATTGATTTATCTTTATTTAGGAGGCTTTCAGCCTGAGGCTGGTTCGCCTCTAGTCTTTATTGAAGAATGTTCAAGACTGTGAGATTTAAAAGAAAATTTCTAAATCATGATTCAGATTTCTAAGATTCTGAAAACAGAAAATGTTATGGGACGGAAGAAAATTTCCAATTCCCGGACCAAAAAACGCACGCATGAGGAAATTTTTTTGATTCTGGAATGAAGATTCTGATGTCTGACCTTGAGATTTTTCTAGATCCCTGATTTGAAAACAAATACCAATATAATGGATGACTAGAAATACTCAGAGGGAGAGATGGGCGGAGAGAATGTTTTGAGCCAAATGAACTGTCAAAATCTGAGCCAAACGAACATTCCCATTAGAATTTTTCCGAGGATTTTTTATTCTTACTAGATTAAATTTGAGAGCATTGCAATCGAACAGAAATTCAATTACCTTTATGTTTCGTGTGCTTCTCAAATTAGTCCTTTACCGTTTGGTACAAACGGTCTACACAGAGCAATGGATTGAATAGTGCAGTGCTTTCACACTCAGCCTAGGCAGTCAATAATTTTAAGCTCTGATTATAACACACCATCGACTGGAAATGCTTTCGGCAACGTTGAGCCTTAGGTAGTGATGAAACGTCGTTAGAACTATTCCACAGCCGCAGGCAGTATTTGAGCACCACTTTTTGCCTGTAGATTTGAAGAGGTACTTCAAATCTCCGCGTACATCGTACGGGTTAGGCAAAAGGTGTGCGTTTGACTTTGTACTGTCGCATTAATGGCCCTTCGCTCACTTTCAACTTCTATTCAATTTTCATACCGCCGTACTCTAACGGAACTATCTACCTACTATCTTCTAAGACCATTATCTAGCTAATAAATTATCACACTAAAGCATTTCCAACCAACTCCAATATAATGGATCTTACAACAACAACGCTCCTGGATTTCAAGAACATATTCCTGATTGTAGCTTGAGAATTTCTCCAACGCTACTTCCAAGGTAATTCTGAAGACATTTTGATTCCTGGTAAATGCTCAGCAGATTTCCATAGGAGTACAAAGAAGAATTCCTAGGTAGTTCTGAGCAGAATTCAAACGAAAAGAGCATCAATTTAATTTTAACGAGACTTCCAAGGTGAGGTGTACTATACGTATGGCTAAATGTATTACGATTCAGTATTCTGTAACACCTGTTGAATAACCCCCCAATTGAGCTGTCCGATGGATGGACCGATGAACACATTCATCCGCTCATGCCAGCTCGGCAGCTCAACCAACGAGCATGATATTCGTGCGCTTTCTGCAACTGATCATTGGACGAGCTAGGCACGTGCTGCTGCTGCTCCGTATCCATGCTGGCGCTGCTTAATTCTCCCGAACTCATTCGCAGAATTCTACCATTTAAGGTGATACTCTAAGGAAGCCTTAGCGTGAAACTTTAAAGGCACAAATGTCAGCTTCCACAAAACTACTAGTACTGCTGTGCTACTACAAACAGAGAGTAGCAATTTCAAATTTGTATGTTTTGTGGAAGCTGACATTTGCGCCTTTGAAGTTTCACGCTAAGGCTTCCTTAGAGTATCACCTTAAGCATTAATTACTAAGCAAATCTCGAATCAAATGTGAGAATAATTCCAAGTGAAGCATGAATTCACGGGAGAAGAGAAAACACAATTAATGTCAAGGAATATTGACTAGGAATTGTGAGGAAATTTACTACAGGTGAATTTTAAAATAATTCTGACGAGAATTCCAAGGCAGTTTAGGAGAATTATGAGGTTTATTCCAAATGAATTGAGAGAAGATATCCAAGGAAGTTATTAGAAGAGCCTTAGAGGGAATTCCATGGAGTATTCCAATTTTTCAATGCAATTCCTATGAGAATTTATACAAGAATGGGGTGCGTTAATCGACTTACTTGGGACCAATAGACTAGTCAAGTAGCGAGCCAATTTAAAATCGTTAGTTTCGTATTGATTGTTGCTAATACCAACCGGTAGCAACTTACGATTTTAAATTGGATCACTACTTGACTAGCCTATTGGTCCCAAGCAAATCGATTAACGTACCTCATTCTAGTCTAAATTCTAGTACTACACTATGTTTGTTTTGATTCGCTATGAAAGTTTGACAGATAAAATGAGGGGTTCGTGGATTTTTCTATGTTTCGGGGGGTGAATCGATTAGCTTGGGACCGAAGATAGTACCAGAGCTGAGCCAAAAAGTTGAGCACGTTTCTTCGGGACCTACTAGTCTTAGAGTTACCTCTATGGTAAAACACTGATGTGATTCATATATGTTTTTGTTTT